ATATATATATATATATCAAAATGACCATTATTCAATAATAAATTTTATAAAAATAATGTTAATAATGCTCAAAGGGCGTGAAAAATATTTTAACTTATATTTGTTCAAAATTTTGAATATTACATATATTAAACATAATGGATGTACAACTACGAGAGTACTTAGATTTTGAAGATCTCACAAACATTAATGGGTCAAGATTCAACTCTTTTCAAATTACACATTTTATCAATGTGAATATGATTATTAAAATAATTGAGATATTTACTATTATTTTTGAGTTTATTTGATAAATTAATGAATTTTGTTACTCAAAATTAGACCAATTTATATTTTTAATGATTAAAGCTTCATTTGGGATAATTTTTGGCTAACTCTTTTTGCTATTTTCAAAAATTTTTGCACTAAAAAACTGCTCTAAAATGCATTAAGAAAACTATCGCAATCAAAACCTATATCTATTTTTCAAGTAACTACATCAAAATATTATATACATATATATACCATTGAGAATTTGATAAAAAGTAAAAAAAAGAATTAAATTTAATTTTGAATTTTAATATATGTATGAGAATTTTAAAAAATTAAATATAAAAATATTTATTTTGTAAATGATTAAATAAAAAATTATTTTGTAAATGATTGATTTTTTTTTTCTTTATTTTTTTATTTTTTTTATCTTTTTTATTTTTCTTTTTTTCTCTTTTCTTCATTAAATCCAAATGATTGATTGTTATCCATATGAATATATGATTGAGGAAAATAGTAATCGCTATTCATTCTTAAAAAAATTTGGCTGCTTTCGCACTCCCGCTTTACATCACACTGCACGCATTCACATTTATCTGAGCTCCCGAATACCTATTCTGTCTCAGATCATATTGACATCTCTGCCCGCGCCGGTGAATTCTGCTTTCGGAGCTCTGCCTCCTCGCCGGAATCCATGGCCGATTGCGGTCTTTTCGCTTTCCTACTCTTTGTCGTTTTAGCGGCGGGCTGCTCCCTCACCGAAGCTGAGTACATCGCCTACAACACCACCCCCGTGATCGACCCCGGTAAGATCAACGTCCACCTCGTCGCTCACAGTCACGACGATGTCGGGTGGCTGAAGACCGTCGATCAGTACTACGTTGGATCGAAGAACGACATCCAGGTTTATCTCTCTTTCTATCTCTATCCCCAATTGTTTAGACGACACTGTTCTCTTCCTCGTTTGACAAATGAATTTGTGGTTTCTGAGTAGGGAGCTTGTGTTCAGAATGTTTTGGATTCGGTTGTCTCCGCTCTTCTAGCAGATAAGAATAGAAGGTTTATCTATGTTGAGCAGGTAAAACGTGATTCATATGCTTGATTATAGATTCTTTTTGTACTTATTTGAGATGGATATAAGTAATTGGGCAAATTAATTGTTATTGATAGTACTTACAGGCATTCTTCCAGCGTTGGTGGAGACAGCAAAGCGATGCGACCAAGAAGATTGTGAAGGAACTCGTCAGCTCGGGTCAATTGGAGTTAATGTATTAATACCTTCTCGTTTTAGCTACTTTTAAATTAGGAATTTTCTTCCGTTAGTCATCCTGTAAATTACATGAAACAGTAGTAAAATACTTGTTTAGTTTTTTATGTGCTTTTTTAATAAATTGGATTAAGCAATGGGGGCATGTGCATGCATGATGAGGCGGCTCCACATTATATTGACATGATTGATCAGACAACCCTGGGCCATCTGTTCATTAAGCAGGAGTTTGGTCAGATACCAAGGATTGGTTGGCAGATTGATCCTTTTGGACATTCAGCTGTACAGGCTTACTTGCTCTCAGCCGAGGTATTCAGACAAATTAATTTATGTGAGATCTTTATTTATCTAGAACATGGAAATCACTTAATGACAACTGCCATATTTTTTACTTGGAATCTTTATGACAATGTGCTCTATTGCTGCAGTCTTCCAAACTCTTTTTAGATTTCCTGAAGACATTGTTTAGTTTATTAAGTTAGCAGAAGGAATTAAATGATTTTCTGTACTTTTTTTTTCTAATCAGTGGAAATAAACTAGTCTTTTGGCTGTATCCAAAAAATGCCCAAGGTCTTCATCCTTAATGGTGCAGTGATATGTTACTCATATGTGTGAGACTTAGATAATTCCACCCACACAGGCAATGTACGACAAGTGTTTGGATTTGTGTAAAATTCATAGAAATATTATAGAAAAATGAGAAAACAAATGCTAGAATCAATTATTTACTTTGTCAAAAAATTGTCATTAAAATTTTCAATACGTATTACACTGTAAACATTAGAATATTTCATTTAATTTACCTAAAGACTAGGCCCTTTGAAGCATGGAAACTATAGATATGCTATTTTATGCCTTAAAATTGTAAGTGGTGAAGGTCATCTACTAATATTGGTTGAACATCATCACCATCATCATTTGCCTTATTCCACCTATTTTATGAACCATCAATTCATTTCTGTTGAGTGGAGGAGGAGATTGAGACTTACAAAAGTGCAAATTTGATTGATGGGGCCATAAAAATCCTTTTTTGAGAAAGAATAATTTCTAATGTAAAGATTGAAACTTGAGTCACCCAAAACAGACTGAACCATTGTTCAATTGATTGAATAACCACATCAACTTGGGCTTATTCAAGATTTGGCTCAACTAGTTCAAGCATTCTCAAACTTATTTTGACACCTTAGATTTTGCTTGGACGCCATCTAAGTCAACGTGGGCTCATTTGAGCATTGATTTAGTAAAATTAAATTGTAGTGGACTTTTTTTCAGTCTTATAATGGCGAAGATTCATGCTTTTGTAAGAAATTTTACTTGACCATATATATTTTTGATAACCCTAATATTTTCCCTAATTTATCTTGGATGTTTTTATTTAGAAGTAAAAAATAATTTTCTTGGAATGTGTTGGATTTTTTGGTCAATCTTGGCTCATTGACGGAAGTCTCCCATTGATGTAGTGGTAGAACCATAAGGTGGCCTTCATCTCCCTATGATTTCGATAAATCTTCTTATAGCTATGTATGGCATGAAAAATCTGTTATAAATCCTATAATAGCTATGTAAAGTATGAAAACTCCCCTCTCTCAAATTTAGGATAAATCATTTAGCGCCCTCTCACTTTTAATCTTAGTTTTTACCACTGGCTTGATGGCTTCACAAATATAGAATGGTTCCTTCTACCCTGCATCAGTGTATTAAATACTCTAGTGAGGATGGTAAACACTGTATTAAAGGTAATTTGCAATCTTCTCCATTCATGAAGTATATATGAAGATGCCACATATTATCTGCCAAAAAAACAGACACTCTTTTATAAAAACTTCTAACTGGCCAAAGAAAAAGAGAAAAAAGAAAGACAACGAAAAAAGTAGAAGAAAATAAAGAAAAAGAAAAAATAAAGCATCTTGAACTTGAACAGAATGTTCACTGGCGTCCTGCCACTCCAACACAAAGAGATTGTAGTATTGCTTAATGAGTTAGAGGGAGAGGCAGAGGACGACAAAATGAAAAAGTAAAAGAAAGTGAAAAAGAATATGTCAATAAAAATGCCTATAATACATACTGATCTGGAATTCAGCTCAAAGGAAGAATCATATGTATTTGAGGAAAATAATTAGGTTATAGAGTATATCAATATTATTGAACAACCTAAGTTTGAATCTTTAGAGACAGATAATGATGAGGGCTGGGTCTAAATCATCAAATTGCAATATGGTTGTCCCTTTCACATTTTGTTACCTAGCTAAGATAAATCATATAGCGTCCTCTCACTTGCAATAAAAAATAATGAAAATGTTTAATTAAAATAGATTAATTTGTAATAAGCTATAATTAATCATATAGTACAACCACAACATCGTATAAGATGATCTACTATATTTAGTATCCCAGCCGTTATTTAAATTAGGCAATAATTCAAATTTTAAAATTTGTTCCAAACGTAATATATGAATTAGTTTATACTGTACGATGGTTAAATTTTTTGCCTAATTTAATCTCTATAATTAAGCAATTGAATTAGGATTAATTAAAATTGATGATCGTACCACATGATCTTAATCGTATTGGATGATCGATAGAGCGATCTTTTGGATGATAATTAAACATCCCATGGTTCATCCTATATGAATTACTATTCGATTGAACTAATCATATCATATTGCTTGGGTTGCCACACGATGACAAAATGTGAAATATGTTCGCATTCTATTCGATGATAAAACTTGTCATGTGTGAACAAGAAAACTTTACAAGCAAGAATCTATACATGTAGATAAAAATATATTCTTAACACCACGAGAAGTGGGAATGGCCTTGAGAAGCATGTAGATAGATTAATAAGCATAAAACAGCCTTAAGAAGCATGCAGTTGTCTCAAGAAGCATGTAGCTGCTTTGAAATATATATCAATTTGATAAAAAGTATGCAAACACAATATGTATCTTGAAAAGTCTGTGAATACACTATGAAATTGCATTAAGAAGTGTGTAATCATGGCAACCATATTGTTATGCATACTATTTGCATAGAACCTTGAAAGTTTAACATCTTATGTCTAGGTATGTCAACATTCTATTTTAATACTCCTATTTGTTCAACTCTATCGAGGAAATATATCACACTAGATATAACTACACACATGACCAATGTATGTATTAAATTAAGAATGAAAGATATTGAAAACATCTCTAATCTAATTTAAGGTGCAAGTGTCCACATTAATACTTGCTAAGAGAATGAAAAAATGTGAAATATGTTCGCGTTCTATGCGATGACGGAACTTGTAATGCATGAACAAAAAAATTTGCGAGCAAAATTTATACATGTAGATAAAAAATATATTCTTAACACACCGCTAGAAGTAGTAATGACCTTGAGAAGCATGTAGATTGATCAATAAGCATACAACATTCTTAAGAAGCATGCAATTAACTCAAGAAGCAAGTCGCTGTCTCAAGAAGCATGCAACTACCTTGAGAAGCATGTAGCTGCTTTCAAATATATATCAATATGGTAAAAGTATGCAAACACAATAATTATGTTGAAAAGTGTGTAAATACTCTATGAATATGCATTAAGAAGCGTGTAATCATGGCAGTGCACCAAAAAGTACATAAGTTACTAAAAAGGTTGTGAATATGATGTGCTACTGCATTGAAAAGTGTTCAAGTCATGCAAATAAACTAAAAAGCATGCATGCTATTAAAAAAATAAAGTACCGGCTTGTGCTCAGACCAAATGCATCAAACTCAAATAAAAAAATAATTTAAACTTTATTTATCCCAAAAAGAAAAATAAAAAAAGACAAGAAAAAAGAAGTTCAAACAACATACTACGGATCTTATTCTTGAAAAAATGAAGTTGTGACTACAAGATCTGCGAAAATATTCAGCTTTAAGTTTGCATTAAACCTTCAATGCCTTTTACGAAGGGAATTCATTATAAAATGCAAATTCACGAGTTCACCGCTCATATAGAGGCTCGTAAATATAGTGCTTGAGCTTGACTCTCTATTAGTGAGAGGTACAATAGACAAGGATGTTTAAGTGACCAGATAAAATATTTAAATACTTTGATAATAGCCAAGTTGATTGAAAAAAATCAATCGAAGGGGACTATATCTTTTAAAATACCCCTAGCTCCTAATGTGATCATTTTGAGGCCACATTTATACTAAAATATAAAATCATAAAATTTTACCAAAATTCAAAGTTTTTTAAGTGAAGTTTATTTTCCAAAAACTTAAATCAAAATCTATCCACCTTTCATAACTATTTGTCGAAGGTGGTAAATTTGATGGTATCCTCATCTTACAAAGAGCAAATGTCTTGTCGAGTGCATCATTATAATTCATTCTCAAATAATTTCTCACTAGTAAGGACATAATATATGTTATCTAATCGATGATTTTGCTGTCAAATGGATATCAAGTAAATGGTTATAACTAGGGCTCTTTGACTGAGTGATTTAGCTGTAAAATGACACTATTAAACTACTATCACGATTAGAGCCCGCAAGTTTTCTAATGGTTAAAAAATCTTTGAGTAATGAATCGTAAGGTACTTGTGATAGGATACAAAGTCCTTTGTTAATGTAGGTTGAATTAATATTTTCCTCTTAGACAAACATCCCCTAGGTTTATAAGGTTCCATTGGATGAAGCAACTTATGGTTACCGGCACAAATTTTTGGAGCACTCATCTAGATATTTCAATGTCATGATGGAGATGATCTCCATCGCATGTCTCACGTATGTATTAAATTGGAGAATAGGTATGGAGAAGTAAGCCTTAATTTTGTCTATAAATAGACTATCTTTTCCAATACATGTGGAGTAAGTTTTGATAGGTTCATAACTCGGGAGAGGATCTGAACCCCTTACTAGCTGATGGGGACATCAGATTTCGACACGTGTACCATCGCCGACGGCGCAGATCGACGGCTACGATGCAGAGCCTCTACTTTTGAGCTTGTAGCTTATTTCATACTTTTTTATTATTATTATTAGTTTTTCCGAGTTTGCCCCTGAGGGCATCTTTTGACTTATGTAGCCCCGAGGGCATTGTGGTCTTTTCTTTTTCTTTCATTTGGAGCCTCCATATATGAGGCAATATGCATTGTATTTTTTCTGTGGCATGAGTCGTCGCTGTGC